AGCCAACCATAAAAGAATTCATACTCTATTCTTTTATTAAAAGTTTTTTTAAAGGCAATATTAGAAATCAGAATGGTGGTTACTTTTGGGAGTAGAGGCATTAGTGATTAAGAAGAGGCAAAAAGGGAACTACTGAAATGTCAGTAACATTCTATTTGACCTAGATGATGATTACATGAGTGTATTCCCTTTTGGATTATTCACTGTGATGCATTCATTTGGTTTGTGCAGTTTTCTGGATGTATTTCATACTTCAGTTTTAAAAGTTTAAAAGTAGAAATAGATATTGTGACTGATTTTATGCCAATAAAATTTTTTTTTTTTTTGAGACAGAGTCTCACTCTGTTGCCCTGGCTAGAGTGAGTGTCGTGGCGTCAGCCTAGCTCACAGCAACCTCACACTCCTGGGCTCAAGTGATCCTACTGCCCCAGCCTCCCAAGTAGCTGGGACTACAGGCATGCGCCACCATGCCCGGCTAATTTTTCCTATATATTTTTAGTTGGCCGATTAATTTCTTTCTAATTTTAGTAGAGATGGGGTCTCGCTCTTGCTCAGGCTGGCTTTGAACTCCTGAGCTCAGACAATCCGCCCACCTCGGCCTCCCAGAGAGCTAGGATTACAGGCGTGAGCCACCGCGCCCGGCCTATGCCAATAAAATTTTGAACTTAAATTATACAGGCCAATTCCTAGAAAAGTAGAAATTACCAAAACTGACAATTGTAAAAGATTGGAAAACCTAGATAGTGCCGTAATCATTAATACTGGTAGTTTGGTCCAGATGGCTTTATAGACAAGTACTATCAAACTTACAAGAAATAGATAATTCCAATTTATACAAACTATTTTAGTGTATAAAATAACAAGGATCAGTCTTCAACTCATTTTATGATGTTAGCATAAGCTTTATACAAAACCTGACAAGAACAGCATAAGAAAGCAAAATTACCATTCAGTCTTACTGAAGAACATAGATGGAAAAACCCTAAACAAAATATTAGCCAACTGAGGCTGGGTGTGGTGGCTCACGCCTGTAATCCTAGCACTCTGGGAGGCCAAGGCGGGAGGATCGCTCAAGGTCAGGAGTTCAAGACCAGCCTGAGCAAGAGTGAGACCCCGTCTCTACTAAAAATAGAAAGAAATTAGCTGGACAACTAAAAATATATAGAAAAAAAATTAGCCGGGCATGGTGGCGCATGCCTGTAGTCCCAGCTACTCAGGGGCCTGAGGCAGGAGTATCGCTGGAGCCCAGGAGTTTGAGGTTGCTGTGAGCTAGGCTGATGCCATGGCACTCTAGCCTGGGCAACACAGTGAGACTCTGTCTCAAAAAAAAAAAAAAAATATTAGCCAACTGAATCTAGCAATGTTATAGAAATAAAAGATTGATTTGAAGTTAGAAAATAAGTTAGTGTAAATCACTACAATAATATATAAAAGGAAAAAATATAGGACTATCTCAATAAATGGTGAAAAATAACTTACACAATTTGACATCTATTCCTGAAAAAAAAAAAAAAAAGAACCTAGCAAAATTAAGGTAGAAGAGAACTTTCCTTAATCCAGTAATAGGAATCTACCCCAAAAACCTACAGCAAACATTATACTTAATAGTGAAGTGTTGAATGCATTTTTGGAGATCCAGGAACAAGACAAGAGTACCTGCTGTTAATATTTTCGTTCAACATTGTTCTGAAAGTCCTAGCCATTGTAGCAAGTAAGAAGAGAAGGAAAAAAGTTTTTTAAAAGAAGAACAAAGCAATTATTTGTAGATGATATGATTGTCAACAAAGAAAATCCAAAATAATCTATAAAGTATTAAAATAATAAGATTGATGGGTAATTAATATTAAAAAAACAGTTACATTTCTGTATACCAGAAATAAACAAAGAAAAATTTTAAAAAGAACATTTAGAAAAAAATCCAAAAAATATCAAGTACCCAGGATTTTTTGTTTTTTTTTTGAGACAGAGTCTTGCTCTGTTTCACAGGCTAGTGTGCCATGGCTTCACTCCAGCTCACAGCAACCTCAAACTCCTGGGCTCAAGCAATCCTCCCACCTCAGCCTCCTAAGTAGCGGGAACTACAGGCGCTCACCACCATGCCCAACTAATTTTTCTATTTTTAGTAGAGACAGGGTTTCACTCTTGCTCAGGCTGGTTCGAACTCCTGAGCTCAAGTGATCCTCCCACCTCAGCCTCCCAGAGTGCTAGGATTACAGGTGTGAGCCACCACGCTTGGCCTAGTACCCAGGATTAAGTCTAACAAAAAATAGGCGTGACCCATACGAAGAAAACTATAAAACTTTATTGAGAGAATTACAGAAGATTTAAATAAATGGAGCTATACTGTGTACATGGATTGGAAGATTCCATACTGTAAAAATGTCAATTCTATCCAAACTTTTCTGTGGATTTAATGCAATCTCAATTAAAATCTGCAGCTGGATTTTGTGTGTGTGTGTGTACATAAGTTGATAAGTTGATTCTAAATGTATAAGGATGGTCAGAGATTCAAGAATTGCTAGGAAACTCTTGCTAAGAAAATCTTGAATGTGTGAGAAAATGTACATATTACTAGATGAGGTGATTCAATGTCATATAAATTCTACCCAAGTAATCTGTAAAATCAGTACATTACAATAAAAATCCCAACAAGATTTTTTAGCAGGACTTGACATGCTATATATAGAATTTATTTGAAGAGAAAGCATGGTATTAGCCAAGAAAAAGTGTTTATAAAGCAAATGAGGGAGTCTTGCTTTGCCACATAGCAAATTTACTATAAACCTTTTAGAAATTAAGATAATGTGGTATTGCATAGAATACAATATAGAGTCCAAAAACAAAACTTACATATGGTAAAGATGGCATTACAAACCAAGGAGAAAAGGATAGCCTTTGATATTGGGACAAATTATATCCATTAAAAAATATATATGTTGGCCCAGGCGAGGTGGCTCACGCCTATGATCTTAGCACCTTGGGAGGCCAAGGCGGGAGAATTGCTTGAGGTCAGGAGTTCAAGACCAGCCTGAGCAAGAGTGAGACCCTATCTCTACTAAAAATAGAAAAAATTTGCTTAGCGCAGTGGCATGCACCTATAGTCCCAGCTACTCGGGAGGCTGAGGAAGGAGAATTGCTTGAGGTTGCAGTGAACTATGATGATGCCACTGCACTCTACCCAGGATGGCAGAGTGAGACAATGTCTCAAAAGTATATATATATATGTACAAAAATCATACCATGTACAAAAATCTATAATTGGATTAAAACAAAAAATTAACTACCAGTTACATAGGTGCCTTATTTATAATACAATGTTTAAGGTTAAAAATCTCCCAGAATTATTGATTCATTTACTTACACACAAAAGGAGAAAAGTTCATTACGGGGTTCTTCTGACCGAAAAAGAAATGGCTATTTATGTATCTTCAAAATTACAGATACTAATTTGAATATTTTTACTCATGATGACCAACTAGCATAAAAATTCTTCAGATATTTTTAAAATCTGAAGTCCATTTATCTCAAAAAGGTTAATGCAGACACCCTTTAAAGGACAATTGCATTATTACTAAATATGGAAAAGATTTCAATTTAATAGATGTTTTTTCATCTCCTTTATCTAAAAAGTTTGTTATTAATAGAAAAGTTTGGCTATTTAAAATTCTATCGTATGCTCTTTCATCTTATATGTATAAAATTCTGTTTGTTATTGGAACTGTAAATTGGGAAAACCTGAGAATTCAAAGACTCAGGATTTCATTTGCTGGATCTGAATCTGAAAGAGCACTGCCCACAGAAATCTAAGACTTAATAAAAAAAAAAAGACAATAGATTTTCACAAATCAAAATGAGGTTTGTAAAGGGTTTACAAAAATATAACTTCGCAATATGGAAGGACTGAAACGAGAAAAAACTAAAAAACTATAAAGGAAAAGATTGATAATTTAACTGTATCTAACTGTTCTGATAGGACATATACCAGATCTTTTCTAGTACATTTTATAGATACTGATGAAGAAATATATAATTTGGTTGTATATGATCCCCCCCCAAGTTGTCTCATCTATGCATGTTTTTCAGTAAGCAACTGTTCTCATTTTTTTTTCCCTTTATTTTTATAGATTTAGAGGATACAAGTATAGTTTTGTTACATGGATATGTTGTGTAGTGGTGAAGTCAGGGCTTTTAGTGTAGCCATCCCCCAGCTTTTCTCATTTAAAAATATGTTTTGGGCCGGGCACGGTGGCTCACGCCTGTAATCCTAGCTCTCTGGGAGGCCGAGGCGGGCGGAGCTCAGGAGTTCAAGACCAGCCTGAGCAAGAGCGAGACCCCGTCTCTACCAAAAATAGAAAGAAATTAATCGGACAGCTAAAAATATATAGAAAAAAATTAGCCGGGCATGGTGGC